TATCAGAGGTGAACAGTTAAACTCCCTTTCTTTCCTTCTTTCTTTCTTTCTTTCTTCCTTCCATCCTTTCTTTCTTTCTTTCTATTTATTTATTTATTTATTTATTTAATATTAGTACATGTTTGCAATTATTAGTGAACATAGACATTGTGCAAGTTGGTACATATACAAATCACATCGTAATCTTACTTCTTTCTCCCCTCTTCTCTCCACTCTCCCTGTCTCTGTTTCCCCTTCCCATCTCCAAAAGGTCTACCTCTGTATATCCTATAGTCTGTCTTTTACTTTGCCCTTTAAATTATTTATACTTTGGATTTCTAACTTCACAGAAGCCATGCAATATTTACCTACTTTATCTGATTAATTTCCCTTTGCCTTAAAGAGCAGCCATTTTCCTACAATACAAATGATTCAAATTTACCCATCTTTATGGGTGAGTAGTATTATATTGTGTATGTTTCATTTTTTCTTACCTGTTTTGGATATATAGGTTGCTTTCAAGAATTTGCATCTGTGAGCTGTGGTGCTATAAACATGGGCATGGATGTAGTACTGTAATATGATGTCCTTAATTTTTCTGGGATAATTCCCAGAAGAGGTATAGCTGAATGAGATTTTCATTTTCAGTTTTTTGGGGAATCTCCATGCTGATTTCTATAGTGGTTGTATTAGTTTACATTTCCACCAATAAGTGTTCCTTTTTCACCACAACTTTGCCAGTGTTTGTTGTTTTTTGAGTTTTTGATAATTAGCCATTCTCAGGGTAGTTCTTATTTGCATTTCTCTGAAGACAAAAGATGCTTAACATTTTTTATGCATTCATTGGCCATTTGTACATCTTCTTCTGAGACATTTATTCATTTCAATTGCCCATTTTTTATTGGATCTTTTGTTTTGATGGTCTATTTTATTAATTTTTTAAGTTCTTTATGTATTCTAGATATTAGTCCTCTATCTGGGGAGTAGCTGGCAAAAAGTATTTTCCTTCTCTGTAGATTGTCTCTTCATTCTGTTGATTGTTTTCTTTGCTATGCAAAATATTTTTAATTTAATATAGTCCCATTTGTTGATTGTTGGTGTCATTGGTGTAAGTAGGATTTTGCTCAGTAAGTCCTTGCCCTTGCCTATGTCTTCAAGAGTTTTACATGGGTTATCTTCCAGTAGATTAAGTATTTCTGCTCTAATACCTGCATCATTGACCCA